CGCTCATCGTTAGGCTCTTAATTCCAGAAATTTTATTGAGATCAGACTCCACGGTCCAGCATGGTGGAATTCAAACAAGCCTCCCCAGGACTGTAACTGGGTCTCTGGATTAAGGTGATAATATCATTAGGTCATCACCTCCACTTTCTTTTTGAAACCGGAGGATTTTCACCCATTGATTAACCGCCATAACGTTTTAAATAATACAATTTGAAGCATGAAATCATAGAAGTTCGAGCAATGGTTTAAAACTGTTGATTCTGTATTACACATATAGATTGTGCAGTGACTTTGTATTGAAATCTAGTTTTTTTTTTGTTTCTGCCTATTACCACAAACCAACATTTTGTGCTTGGATGGTTGGGATCATCTGACAATATTCTGTGTTACACAAGAATATTTGGAAATTGTGTCCAGTTAAGCCATTTCTTCTTTCTACTTGAGAGCTTCACATAGTTCTGTGAAAGATAATGCCCCTATTAATTGAGCTCCTGTCAATGTGAGCTTGACTTCTGTAAATGTTGTCAGCATTAATTTTATTTGCAGACCTTCTCACAACGGACCTGTAGTTGTTATTCTGTCTTAGCAGTCAACATGCTTGTGACGCATGCAATGAAGGTCTTATTTGAATTTAATTTCCATATAATTTGAGCAAGAAATTATCTCGTGGTTTTATCTCCTGTCAGTGAAATCAGTGTCGGTGCACTGTTTCCTTGGCGTAAATGTTCTGTGCAAAGCCCTACTTTATTATACGTCTTGCATGGAGCAATTTGCTGATGTCTTGACAGCTAATCATTCTCTATAATGAAAAAACCCAAGACACTTTGGTATTTAAGTGGCGGTTGGCTGAAGCAAATGGTCCACTGTAGCTTACCCTACTAGCATCTTGCAATGTAAAAATCTAATGAGACAATTAAATCCTTCCTATACCTGCTTCCACACAGCATCAGTGTCCAACTGATGCTCTACACAACACATTAGCTGTCACATTTACCAAGCATTACTACCCAGATTTAATCTCAGTACATGACTTTAAGTAATGCCATTTTACCACTTGCTCAGGTTTTAACAAAAAGAACTTGTATTTGTAGAATGCCTTTAATTTATAAAATTACTTCAGGTGCTTCACAGAGAACTGAGAGATGCATTTATTGAATTTGTAGTAAATTGAATTCCAGTAATTGTCCTCAAACTTAATTGTAACAAGGAATTCTGTAAATAGAAACTAAAATTCAGCACAATGAGGAAAACAGATTTGTCACTTTGTGGTACAATTACAGTTTCAGCTGTCAAAAAGTATCACTGAATAGAAATGATGAGTCCTGTGTGTTACAGTCCAGTGAGTGTAGCCACTTAATTGTGCTAGTTCTGGTTGAACGATGCTGTTGTTAACGTGATCAGGTTACACATTGTTGGTGTGCTGCTTGGATCTGAATCAGCATCTAAGGCAAACCTCCCCAAACCTGTTTCTGGTGCGATAACAAGGTCTAGAGCTGGATGAACACAGCAGGCTAAGCAGCATCAGGCGAGCAGGAAAGCTGACGTTTCAGGCCTAGACCCTTCTTCAGAAACGGGGGAGGGGAAGGGGATTCTGAAATAAATAGGGAGAGAGAGGGAGGCGGATAGAAGATGGATAGAGAAGATAGGTGGAGAGGAGACAGACAGGTTGAAGAGGCGGAGGGGTGGAGCCAGTAAAGGTGAGTGTAGGTGGGGAGCTAGGGAGGGGATAGGTCAGTCCGGGGAGGACGGACAGGTCAAGGGGGCGGGTTGAGGCTGGTCGGTAGGAGATGGGGGTGGGGCTTGAGGTGGGAGGAGGGAAAAGGTGGGAGGAAAGACAGGTTAAGGAGGCGGGGACAAGCTGGGCTGGTTTTGGGATGCGGTCGGGGGAGGGGAGATTTTGAAGCTTGTGAAGCCCACATTGATACCATTGGGCTGCAGGGTTCCCAAGTGAAATCTGAGGCGCAGTTCCTGCAACCTTCGGGTGGCATCGTTGTGGCACTGCAGGAGAACCAGGATGGACATGTCTGCGGAATGGGAGGGGGAGTTGAAATGGTTCGCGACTGGGAGGTGCAGTTGTTTATTGCGAACCGAGCGTAGGTGTTCTGCAAAGCAGTCCCCAAGCCTCAGCTTGATTTCCCCGATGTAGAGGAGGCCACATCTGGAACAGCTGATACAGTATACCACATCAGTAGATGTGCAGGTGAACATCTGCTTGATATGGAAGGTCTTCTTGGGGCCAGAGAAGGGCGTGAGGGGGGCATGTAGGGGCAGGTGTCGCACTTCCTGCGGTTGCAGGGAAACGTGCTGGGTGTGGTGGGACTGGAGGGGAGTGTGGAGCAGACAAGGGAGTCTTGGAGAGAGTGGTCCCTCCGGAAAGCAGATAAGGGTGGGGAGGAAAAAATGTCTTTGGTGATGGGGTCGGATTGCAGATGGCAGAAGTGTCGGAGGATGATGCGTTGGATCCGGAGGTTGGTGGGGTGGTACGTGAGGACGAGGGGGATTCTGTTTTGGTTGTTATTGCGGGGAGGGGGTGTGAGGAATGAGTTGCGGGAAATGTGGGAGACACGGTCGAGGGCGTTCTCGACCACTGAGGGGGGGATGTTGCGGTCCTTGAAAAACGAGGACATCTGAGATGTTCGGGAGTGGAATACCTCATCCTGGGAGCAGATGCGGTGGAGTCGAAGGAATTGGGAATAGGGGATGGCATTTTTGCAGGTATGTGGGTAGGAGGAGGTGTATTCTAGGTAGCTGTGGGAGTCGGTGGGCTTGAAATGGATATCGGTTTCCAGGTGGTTGCCAGAGATGGAAACAGAGAGGTCCAGGAAGGAGAGAGAGGTATCGGAGATGGTCCAGGTGAACTTAAGGTTGGGGTGGAAGGTGTTGGTGAAATGGATGAACTGTTCGAGCTCCTTGTGGGAGCATGAGGCAGTGCCGATACAGTCATTGATGTAAAGGAGGAAGAGGTGGGGTTTAGGGCCAGTGTAGCTACGGAAGAGGGATTGTTCCACGTAACTTACAAAGAGGAGGCATAGCTTGGGCCCATGCGGGTATCCATGGCCACCCCCTTTGTCTGTAGGAAGTGGGAGGAGTTGAAAGAGAAGTTGTTAATGGTGAGGACGAGTTCAGCTAAGCGGATGAGGGTGTCAGTGGAGGGGGACTGGTCGGGCCTGCGGGACAGGAAGAAGCAGAGGGCCTTCAGGCCATCAGCTTGGGGAATGCAGGTGTATAGGGACTGGACGTCCATGGTGAAGATGAGGTGTTGGGGACCAGGGAATCGGAAGTTCTGGAGGAGGTGGAGGGCGTGAGTGGTGTCACAGACGTAGATGGGGAGTTGCTGGACCAAGGGGGAGGAAATGGAGTCAAGATAAGTGGAGATGAGTTCGGTGGGGCAGGAGCAGACAGAGACAATGGGTTGACCAGGGCAGTCAGGTTTGTGGATTTTGGGAACGAGATAGAAATGGGCGGTGCGGGGATGGGGAACGATGAGGTTGGAGGCTGTGGGTGGGAGGTCACCTAAAGTGATGAGGCCCTTGTTTTAATATTTCACATTTGGTATGATCCAACTGAGAAGATTTGTGGTTTGGGTATTCAAACAGCAGCAATACAGAGGGGGAAAAATGCAACTAGACATCTATCCTTTTCGGGCTGTGCTGGTGTGTGCACTTGAGGCTCAGAGATTATTAGGCCATGTCCACAAGCAAAAAGCATTTAAAGGGACCTTGCAGCAAATTAACAATGGGACATATCAGAGTTTCCAGACCATACTGTTGATGCCTCAGAGCTTGTAAAATCAATTACTCATCCCACCACCCCATGGGGGAAGAGCAATCCATTGTTTAGAAGCTTTTGGTAAAAGGTACAATGCCATATTGCACCCTTCTCGTCCATTTTCAGTTCTGATCACATGATGTGGTCTGAGATACCAAATATCAAAATGGAAATGTGCTATGACTTTCTTTTGGAATCCTTTTAGGTAATTGAGATTTGCTTTTGAGCAACTTGCCAAAAAAAAAAATCAGAATTGGGAGATTCTGTTCAGGATTTAATAAAAGAACTTGTAGTTGCACAGTGCCTTGTAGCATCGTGCCTTTAATGTGAAAAATTACTTCAAGTGCTTTACAGAGAATTGAGAGAAGTATATATTGAATTGGTAGGTAAAATGAATTCCAATAATTGTCCTCAAACTTAATTGTGACAAAGGAATTCCATAAATAGAAAATAAAATTCAGCACTATGAGGAAAATGGATTTGTCACTTCGTGGTACATCGGCAGGTTTTGGACAAAGGATACAGCTGTCAAAAATATCAGCAAAAAGAAATGATAAGTGCCATGTGTTACAAAGTAACATTGTGAGTGAACTAGGAATAAAATGCACACCTAGCTTATAAAACGCAGATTAATTTCAAGGTAATAATTACAGGGATTATCAAGCAGTCAAACTGCATGGTTTTTTCCCCTCTTAGTTAAAACAGATCTCCAATTCTTGAATGCTTTCTGTGTGGCTTTTTACTCTGGTGTTTTGGACTGTGACCTTCATGAGCATGCCATTCAAGCAAGTGAGAATGAAATATTTCCTGTTGACAGTTGGAGCAAAAATTGGTCATTGTGCGTACAAAGCAGGATTTCATGTTTGAGGTTATACCAACATTCTGGTAAAACTACCATCCATTCAAAATACATCCTTTAGATCATTTTATTAAACAGCTGTATTTGTTTATGTTCCCGTTGCCATCCATTTATCCAGGAATCTGAAGATTGTGACAGTTTTTGGGAATATTATAGGAGAAACAAACTGTATTTTGATGAGAAATGCAGACCCTGTCTATGAACAAGGAAGAGGAATAGTATCATGATAGGGGACAAAAAAAGATCTGAAGGAGAAAGCTCCAAAGTTAGATAGTGCAAATCTATAAGCTATGGGTTTTGTGAGGTAATTTACTTTGATCGTTTCACTTTTATAAAATATGAGTACTGATCATCTCCATTTTTATTACTTTAGATCGTTTTAACATGCTGCCCAACAACTACTTGCAAATTCGCCACATTAAGAAGACAGATGAAGGGACTTACAGATGTGAAGGAATAATTGCTGCCCGTGGTGAAATCAAATTCAAGGATATAAGGGTTATTGTTAATGGTAAGTTGTTTAATTCTCAGTATTTTGCTCATTTATTCAGTTTGGTAAATTACACAGCTCTTCAGTTTAGACTAAACATTGTTCAAAGCAAATGTACGCAGTTTTTATTTACCAGTTCATCTCATTTTCCAAACTGTTGCATAAGCAAAAGCAACAGTTTGCATTTAAATTGTACTCCATCAATACAAGTAGTAAAATGAAGGCTGGATCCGGAGAAATAGAAGACTCTGAAGAGGATATAAACATAAATACTTGGGACTATGGAGGTAACGATGTGGGAAGATAGAAAAGCTTTTGCTGTAAAATGTGCTAAATGTGCATGTGTATATGATCGGGTAAATAGAAACTAAAGCATGAATGGTCATATGGAACTTGAAAACTGAGAGGAAATAGGGGATGTCGTGGTGAAATGTCGCAGATGAGGATGAGGGATAATAGATGACAGAAAATGGTATTCATGATGATTGAGTGTCTTTATATATTGTCACCTTGCATGGTATTAACGCTGCCACCTCTTTCGTTACAGTTCCTCCCAGTATACATCCCCGAGACATGGTGGTGAATGCCACAGCACATAGTGGTCAGCCCGTGACATTAGTTTGTGATTCGGATGGATTCCCACAGCCAGAGGTGACCTGGATGAGGTAAGAATTATAAAATGTGTACAAGAATTAAAATTATTCTGATTGCTTTGGAATTGCTTTCTGTTTAGCCGGTGATAAATGAATCATGGAAAGGTTCAGCGACCTGTTCTATTGAACAGGTTACAACTTGTTGCTCCAGTGATTTTTTTTTTTTTGAAAAAGTTATGAAATATAAAAATCAACTAATAGTTGTTTTTAAAGCAGACTTGAGTATTAGTGAATAAAACAGAATAAAACAGCATTTTGTTTTGCACTCATTAGGATAATTCGTAAGAAAACAAATTTCCAGGGAATGTGAACATTTGTACTGTATGGGAGGAAAATGCTGATTGGTTTGCACGAGCACACTGACAGAGGGGTTGCCATGGAGAATGTACCAGTTCAAGATGATGGGCAATTAACAATCAGATTTGTGTAAATTTTAAATCAGTCAGGTTGACTCTGATTATTGCACAGTGAGCCAGTCCAATGGCTGTCACCTATTTTGTTGGTTGTAGTGTCTACATGTTCCTTCTGTCTGCAAACAACAGACGCCTGTGAATTAATATATGTAGATTCAAATATGGTAGATGCAAAGTCGTTGGATTGTATCAGGTAACCTTCAGCTGTTCGCAACGAGCAAGTTACTAACTGTACGCAACTAGTTTGCACTTGCAAAACCTGTAGTACAGTTAATAATATTAGATGTGATTGTTCATTTGGACAGGATTTGCTGGGTACGCTTGAGTATGCTAATAATTATGCTGACAACCAATTTAGGATTGTCAGTTGAATTCACAGTATGGCACCCTTCCATGTAATAGAATCTACGTATATATTTCTTAAGTTCTTTAAGGAATGAACATGCATGGCACCTGGTCAACTCAGTAAAACTGGTGACGGCCTTTCATTGGTTCATTTTTTAGGAAAATGGTTCTACAAATCAGAAAGTGCACTTGCCAACCAAGTATGCTCATTACATGCACAATACATGTTGATATTCCCCTTGAATTCTTGTGAATTGTCCTGATGAGTGCAAAACAAACAAAAAACCTGACAATTTATTCTTTATTTTTCAACACATAGTTTTCTGTTGTAGATTAGTGAGTGATCTATCAATTAATCTTTAATCTGGAAATAAATTGTTGCGACCTTGCACCAATTATTGACTGATTTGGGAATATTTCTGGTGTTTGTGAAGCGAGAAAAGAAAACAATACCTATTTACTTCTTTCCTAAACAATTCCCTGTATTGGTTAACCAGCTTTACAGCCGTGATTTTGAATTAGTAACCACTACTCTTGTTCTGTGAAATGGATACCTAAATCCTTTTATTCCTCCATAATTCTATATTTTCTCCATCAAGAAAATACTCCCAGTTTGTTTTGGTGAATTCCATCAGCCACAGTTTTATGTGCAGACTATCTATATTCACATTTAAACTTCTGCCCCTCTCAACTTGCTGCATTTTCGAGCTTACAGAATCTCCTACAGTGTGGAAACAGGCCATTCAGCACGTCGAGTCCACACCGACCCTCCGAAGAACATCACCCGCAGACTCATTCCCCCTACGCTGTCCCTGTAACCCCGCATTCCCCATGGTTAGTCCACCTAGCCCGTACATCACTGGACACTTTGGGCAATTTACCATGGCCAATCCACCTAACCTGCACATCTTTGCACTGTGGGAGGAAACCGGAGCACGCGGAGGAAACCCACGCAGACCCGGGGAGAGCGTGCAAACTCCACACACAGTCACATAAGGGTGGAATCGATCTCGGGCCCCTGGCACTCTGAGGCAGCAGTGCTGCTTGGTGCCCTTTGCAACTAATGTAAATGCGTATTCACTTTCACTCTGGTCGTTAATATATAGTGAGAAACAAGCCCACTGCAAATCCCAGGGGAACACTAGTTGTCACATTCTGGCAATAGTGCATGAATCTTTTGTTTCTGTCCTCTGTTACCATGGTCACATCATCATCATTAACTTATTACAAGGTTCTTTCCTTCTAGACTGATTTTTTTTGCTAAAGTAAACTCCCATTTAGATCTTTAGTAAATGAATTCTGCAAGCCCATCAACATAACATCCATAGACTCTCCCCTATCCACTGTTCTGACAATTCAAGACAAAAATTTCCACAATTATTCAAACATGATCTACATTTCACCAATACTGTTTTGGTATTTGGATGTACACAACTCCCTTCAGCTGATTACTTCAGATTGCAAACCGTTTAATTGCATTGCTTATAGCATTAGCAGGAACTGCGCAGTCTGTTGACTGATTTTTTTGTTACGAAGAAGAAGAACACGTTCAACACAATTCCGAATGGTTTATTGTAGTTATCAATGCCATGTATATATACACGTTCTCTATTGTGCAAACAACTAAGTTTTTGTTTTTGAAGAATCCATTGTAAAAAAGCCTTTTCAAACAACGTTCAAATTAGCTGACAAATGTAGGTAAATCTCCTGGTTTTGCTGGTGAAGTGACAAATAAAACAGTAGAAATCAAATGCTTCATTGCTGCATTTCCAGCAAATATGAGTTTATGTTCAAAAATCACCTTTGTTTTTTCCAAAATCAGCTCCTTGCAGTTCTAAAAGAAAAACTGTATCATGTGAGTATAGTTCCACAAATGCAGACAACGCTCTAGTCCTTCATCCAAGTGTCCTTTCTTCATCTTTTTGGCTTTAATAATGAGAATTGATAAAGTTATTCAGGTCTCAACGGCAGTATAGATGAATCAGAGCTCTGTCTTCCTCAATTTCATATTGAAACAGTATACAGCAGGCAGTGTTGGGTAGTGATCAGCTATAGTTGCCTTGGTTGGTTTCTTGACACTGCCACTCCTTTCCCCATCAAAGCCTAGAGCCATGTGACTAACTGCACTCGTTCATTGAGATGATAATGGATTCAGATCAGCTGAAACTTCCAACTCATGATCTGCAAGACTTTGTATGTGTCTGATTGTAGCTCTGCTCCAAAATAATTAAGAAAATTAACACTAAACAGATGGGGAGAGGATACAGGACAATAATTTCAATACAAATATAGGTATTTTTTGTTTTAAAAAGCTGCTTTTTGTGGCCTGAAATGAACATTTTCAGCCCCGTGAGCACGTGAAATTGTCTGGTTGCAATGCTGACTTCACCCACCGCAGGAAACTACTTTACAAGCAAAAGCATGACTTCAGTAGGTCTAATTCTCATTTGTACATGTGTTAGAAGTGGGGCTCATCTTCTGAAGAGTGGCAGTATTTTTCAGGTACTACATTTACCCTCATTTCAGGTTCCAGAATAACATTACAGTATGTAAAAGATGACCGAGTGGCATCTGTGTCAAGCGCAGAATAATTGCAGACAAGTGCTGGAAACGTTTTATGTGCTTTCTGTTTTCCACTTTCTGATTCATTAAATACCACTAATATTATTAAAGAAATATAGTGCAAGTATGAAGACAAACTGACTGTAAATGGACACTAGAACATTAAATGTTGCATAGGGAGTCATTATTTTGAATCTTTTTGGGCATTGTAGCTATTTTCATGTAAATCTAAATTAAAAATCACATTACAGTTCAGAAGTTACATTGGAATATTTACATGGAGCGTGTAATGCATTTTTTCTGAAGTCCAGTATTAGTGGATGAATTAACTCATCTAAAGTAATAAATGAAATAGGGGAAAGTAAAATATCAGATATGTTTACCAAGCATTGATCTTTTAGTACCTGGTGCCATAATTTTCTGGATCTATTGTTCATTTGTTTCAAGAAAGTGTATATTAAAATGCTTTGGTGTTCCATGCAGTCATTTTACCCTGGTGTGTAAACCAACAGACCAGTTTGTGTCAGAGATAGTAGGTACTGCAGATGCTGGAGAATCTGAGATAACAAGATGTAGAACTGGAGGCCAAGCAGCATCATAGGAGCAGGAAAGCTGACGTTTCGGGCCTAGACCCTTCATGAGAAATGGGGGAAGGGAGGGGGGTTCTGAAATAAATAGGGAGAGAGGGGGAGGCGGATAGAAGATGGATAGAGGAGAAGATAGGTGGAGAAGAGACAGACCGGTCAAAGAGGTGGGGATGGAGCCAGTAAAGGTGAGTGTAGGTAGGGAGGGGATAGGTCAGTCCAGGGAGGACGGACAGGTCAAGAGGGCAGGATGAGGTTAGTAGGTAGGAAATGGGGGTGCGGCTTGAGGTGGGAGGAGGGGATAGGTGGGAGGAAGAACAGGTTAGGGAGGCGGGGCC